ACCACCCATTACCACTGCTCGTCAGCATGACCACTACCCCTCACCCACCAAAACCAACACCACTACCACTCGCCACCACAACCCACCACCATCACCTATAACCACCACCCATTACCTATAGCCACTAACATTGTATGTGATTGAATACTTATAATGGCGTAAATCATGTGTGACTATATGTACTTTTTTATATGTGATTAAATACATATAATCAAATGTGATTATATGTATCTAATCATATATGATTATATGTATCTAATCACATATAATTTAATCGCATGTGATTATATGTATTCAATCATATGTGATTTATTTCGAAAATATTTGTTTTTAACGAATCTTGTTTATATAAATCATATGTGATTAAATATATAATCACATGTGATTATATGTATTATCACATGTGATTATATCTATTTAATCACACATGATTTATGTGGATAATATTTATTACTCGTTTTCGATTCAATAGATGGTCTCGTGTATCTAATCATATGTGATTATATGTATTATATCTCATATCATTTGTATGGAAAATATTTGTTTTTGTGTTCTTGATTCAATAATTATTCCCGTGTATATAATCAAATGTGATTATATATGTATGTAATCACATATAATCTATAGACAAAAATTGTTTATGATTAAATACATTCACATATGAATAAATACAAGAGAAAATTTATTAAATCAAAAAAACAAAAATGATTATTGTCCAAATAAATCATATGTGATTAGATACATATAATCACATGTGATTACATGTATTTACTCACATGTGATTAAATTTAACAGAGAACGATCATTGAATCGAGAACGTGACAATGAATCTTCTCCACAAAAATCGTTTGTGATTGGATACAAATAATCACATGTGATTATATGTATTTAATCACATATGATTATATGTGATTAAATACATATAATCTAATCACTTGTAATTAAATAATGAGAAGAACTATTGAATCGAGAAACCAAAAACGAACAATGTCCTTATAAATCATATGTGATTAGATACATGCAATAGTCACATGTGATATTTAATCACATGTGATTTATGTGGACAGGATTCGTTTTCGCGTTCTTGATTCAATATTTATTATCATGTATATAATCACATGTAATTGTATATATCTAATCACATACGATTTATATAAACAAGATTCGTTTTTTTCCAAATAAAATCATATGTGATTAGAAGCATATAATCACATCTGATTAAATGTATTTAATAACGTATGATTAAAGTTGAAAAAAACAACTATTGAATCGAGAACGTGAAAATGAATCTTGTCTAGTTAAATCATATGTGATTAGATAAAGATAATCATATGTGATTATATGCAGTTAATCGCATATGATATATGTGGACAATATTTATGTTTGTGTTCTCGATTCAATAGTTGTTCTTGTGTATATAATAATATGTGATTATATGTATCCAATCACATATGATTTATATAGACATCATTATTTTTTTGTCCGTATAAATCATTTGTGTCTAGATACATATAATCACATATGATTATATATATTTAATCACATATGATTATAATGGACAAAGAACAGTTATTGAATCGGGAATGTAACAATGAATCTCAACCATATAAATCATATATGATTGGATACATATAATCACATGTGATTATATGTATTTAGTCAGAGATGATTTATGTAGACAATATTTATTCTTGCGGTTTTGACCGAATAATTACTTTTGTGTGATTAATCATATGCGATTATATGTTATAATCACGTATGATTTGAGGTGGACATGATTCATTTTTTCCTTCTCAATTCAATAGTTGTGCTCATGTACTTAATCACATACGATTATACATTTAATCACATGTGATAAAATACATGAGAACAACTATTGAATCAGAAAAGCAAAAATGAATTATGTCCACATAAATCATATGAGATTATATTCATAGAATCACATGTGATTATTTGTATTTAATACATATGATTAATTTAGATAAAGATTTGATTTTGCGTTCTTGGTTCAATATTTGTTAACGCGTATATAATAACATGTGATTGTATGTATCTAATCATATATGATTTAATTTTTCCAAATAAAGTCATATGTGATTAGAAACGTATAAATCACATTTGATTAAATGTATTTAATCACATATGATTAAAGTGGAAAAAAACGTTTATTGAATCGAGAACGCGAAAAGAATCTTAGCCACATAAATCATATGTGATTAGATACACATAATCACATGTTATTAGGGTATCTGTGAACAATAACATAAATAAAGTAATGCCTACATAATAGGAGAGTTACTACTCACCACCAACCCACCCGTCACTACCACATATGATTATATGTATATATATGATTTATATGCATGGATACAATTCATTTTTGTCCAAATAAATCATATGTAATTAGATACCTGTAATCACATATGATTAAATACACTAGAATAATAAAAAAAATAATTATATTATTCACATAAATAATATGTGATTAGACATATATAATCACATCTGATTATATGTTTAAATCACATTTGATTTATGTGAACAACATGCATTTTCGTGTTGGTGATTCGTTAGTTGTTCTTTTATAATTAATAACATGTGATTATATGTATTATGTATCTAATCACATATGATTTATATCGACAAGATTCATTTTCGCATTTTCTCTTCAACAAATTTTTTTATGTTTTTAATCACATGTGATTTATGTGGGCAATATTTATTTTTGCGTCGATTCAATAATTTTCTCATGTATTTAATCATACATGATTAATGTGGAAAAGATTCATTTTTGTTCATATAAATCATATGTACCTAAAACATATAAGCACATGTGATTATACAAAAAAAAAAAAAAAAAAGAAGAAAACTATTAAATCGAGAAAGCAAGAATGAATTTTGTCCACATAAACCTTTTGTGATTAGATACGTATAATTACATGTGATTATATGTATTTAATCACATATGATTTATGTGGACAATATATATTACGCTTTATCCGCTCAATAGTTAGTCTCGTGTATTTAATCACATGTGATTATATGTATTTAGTCACATATGAATTATATGGACAATATTCATTTCCACATTTTCGACTCAATATTTAGTCTCATGTATTTAATCACATGTGATTATATGTATTTCATCACATATGATTTATATATATAAAAAATATATTTTAGCGTTCTTGATTCAATAATTGTTCTCATGTATATAATCATGTATGATTAAATTTATCTAATCACATAGGATTTATATCACTACTAGAAAAACAGCCTTTTACGACGCTCATTGCGCGTCGTAAAAGGCTCAGACAACGCGCAAATGCGCGTCAAGGAAGGCCCTGTCATAAAGAGAGACGACGCGCATTTACGACGCTCATTTATGACGCGCAATTACGACGCGCGTTTACGACACGCAATGCGTATCAAGGTAGGCCCTGTCATAAAGTAAGACGACACGCATTCACGTGTCGTAACCTTACGACGCACGTGTTAATGACATGCAATGCGTGTCAAGAAAGGTCATGCCATAAATGAAGATGACACACATTTTTGCGTATCATAATTTTAAATGTTTAGAAAAATATTATTTATAGATTTACTAATTTTCAAATTAAATAATACATAAAAAAATCTCATAATACAAAATAAAATACCATAAATAACAAAGATAATTTATTTCACTAATATGTCTAACACTAATATGTCAAATACAAATAATTATTCCAAAAGTGAGTAAATGTTATAAAAAAAGATGAACTCATTTATATACAATTGCATCATCTAGCTTACTATGTGCCAACAACTCTCTGTGTGTTTACTTTTGCTTGAGTCTCGTTTCCTCCAAAGCTTCTAGCCATGCCAAAATATGATATTTTGAGTCTCTTTTCAAGAACCAAAATCACCTTCAATTACCCAATTAAACTCTAATTTTGGTAGACTGAGAGTTCTAGAATCAAGTTTACATCCATCACCTTCAATCACCCAATTAAACTCTAGATCTTCTATTGTTTGAAAGAAATTGGTGTTTTTTAATCTATGAACAAAAAACACAAAGACCAAGGTTAACATTTGCTATATAGCAATAGATATCAATCAAACAGAGCCAAAAGTGTTTACCAATAAATTAATGCCCCCTGCAACAGTTTGTCTTTGATTCCTCTGATTCACATGACATGATAACTCAACAACAAACTCATGAGCTTCAATAAGTTTTGAAGCATAATTATGTTTCATGTGATGTACACCCCCTGGTCATCTTCCTTGTATCCAATAACTAATGTCATTCAGTTGTTTTCAGTCCTCATCAGTGAATTGCAAAGCTTGATTTCATCTTCCGTTAAACCACACAGTGAAAAAATATTTCTCATTGAATAGAAAAAAAAAGTAACTAAACACCTGAAGTATGATGACATGGAAGCTGCAATCTAAAAGATCAATTAACAACGGTGAATATAAAGTTAATCAGAAAAGAAAGGCTTCCATATCTTCTGAAGAAAAGTTAAACAGAAAAGAAAGGCTTCCATATCTTCTCCTGACTTGAAGTTTTGTCCTGATCTATTAGGAGATTTATAATCCAAATCGTACTTTGTACCTAATACAAGAAAATAAATAAATATAAATGTCAAGTAATCAATCACATGAATAGTTGCTCAGGTATCATAGAGATAGTTGCTTTATATTTTAATGGCATACCTATAACTAGGTAGATTTTTCAAACTTGTAATACGGAGAATTTAAGAAAACAAAAGTACAATGATATTGTAAATAAGTTGATGAAAGTATGTTGTTATTTCTTGAATGCAACCAATGTTAAGAGCATATGAGAGGAATGATAATTGACCAAATGCCATCCCGATGTTAACTGTATACACCTTTGACTTGCAGTACTTGAGGGTAATTTCGGAAATTAATAAATCATATCAGTAAATAGCCTTAAAAAGATAAAATGAATGATTTTAATTGCTTACAGCCATGATGTCAGCAATGACGTATGCTTATGTTTCAGACCCCACTGTCTCCATTTTGTCATTCTACAAAAGAAAAAAAAAATCAAAATCTTTATTGACTTATTTCTTGTATTTAGTAATTTAACCTTAAAAGAAAAAAAAGACAAAAAATTCACCTGTGTTCCAGATGAATTAATGTAAAGATAAATAGGCTTAGGTGGATTATCATAATCCAACCACATAAATTGAGCAACAAGAAGCTCAGTCACTTCAGGAACAATCTACAACAACCAAAATTATACTTCAATTCATTATAAAAATAAAGAATTAAAAAAATAAAATAAAAATACATTGCTATTTCTTATAGGCATTCCTAGGAAACAAATACGAGCATCTAGAAGCAATGTTGGAAGATCTAGAGACCGGAGCACTTCTAGGTCTTCCGGAAGCTCTGCCGCCACCTCCGCGATACATATGCTAATATATAGTGTACAAATATTGAAAAAGGCTTACAACAGAAGCAGCTGCAGCAGCCACTCTTCTACTAACACTGGTGCCTAGCACAAACCTCTCGCTCAAAGTTGCAACCTCTGTGAGGCCATCTCTCACTCTTTCAACCCCTTATGTTGTATACTGACTCACCTGCACCACAACACATAATTACATTATATGCATATGCACAATGACTCACCTGCACCAAAAACCAAAAACAAGTAGGAATAAAGAGAGAAAGAGAAAGAGAGAGGGAGAGAGAGAGACAGAGAGAGAGATATGGTTCACAAGTCGCGAGGGAAGTTATTGATTTGCCCTTCCTCTAACATATCTTTGTTGTTCAGCTTGTAGCTTATTCGTACGTGCATCACAACTGATTTCAGCTCAAAACAACATTCATGAGTTAGTTGGGTGATAAAACAAGAGAGTAGTATTCTATATTGAATATTAAAAATAAATAAATAAATAAATACCTTGCCATGTTGATTTTTTTGGTGACTCATAATTTTTGTGTTATAGAACCACTGGCATTTCCAGGAAGAGTATTACTGCTAGCAGGCTCTCAATGCAGTTGTATGAACTGTATCTGTGTGTGTGGATTGTAAATGAGACAATAAGTTAGAAAATAAAATTTCAATTTTGGACCTTAGCTGATTTTTGCAATTTTGGTCCCAAAAGCCATTCTACTTGGATAAAGGAGCAAAGACATTATAAAAAGTCTCAAATAAGGACAAAATTTGCAAGAAACCAAACCAGGTGTGTATATACATATATATATATATATATATATATATATATATATATATATATATATATATATATATATATATATATATTAGATATATGGAGGGAGGGAGCAGATATAGTTTTTACCTTAGGCACTGCTGCATGGAAGATGAAATCTGTATAGACCTGGGAAGACTTGTTTGTGAATTTTGCTTTAATTAAAGTTATCTGTTGACTTCCAGGTTGCTCAGACAGGTTGAACATTAGGCTCAATGCACCAACCTCGAATGCAAGAATTGGTGGATATGGCTGCCCATTCTCCTCTTCTTCTATTCAATGTTCATGCATCAAAATAAAATCTTATACCCTTTTACATTTTCCCCCCTCCCATTGGCTTAAAATTGATGGATATTGTGAAATTTGTTTTTTGGAATGTAAGAGTAAAATGAACAAGATCGAGTCACGTAAACTTAATTTATTTTTTCCTAGCTGTTCCCCAAGTGTGCTGTTATTTTGTAAGCATCATTTACCTGGATCGAAAAAATAATAAAATAATAATAATATACTTACTAGGTGGTGGTGGTGGTGGTGGTGTAGGATTTGGACCGAATCCGTCTAATAGATTCATCATAGGGCACCAGGTGTAGGTATAGGTGATGAAAGAGTATCCAAAGCACTAAAAGGTGAGGGTGAGGGTTTATTATTATTATTATTATTATTATTATTATTATTATTATTGTTATTATTATTATTATTATTATTATTATTATTATTATTATTATTATTATTATTATTATTATTATTATTATTATTATTATTATTATTATTATTATTATTATTATTATTATTATTATTATTATTATTATTATTATTATTATTATTAAGTTGAGTCAAGGATAAGAGATCAGATGTACATGAGCTTTTTTGAGTAGCAGAAGCAGGAGCATGTGGTGACTCTCTTGACAATAGATCCAGCAGAACATCCGTACCACTTTTATGTCCATGCATTGTATTTCTACCTCCTGAAATCAAACACACACAAGTACATCAATATTAATATCTAATCTATATTATGCACTCTATATTTTATTGTACATTTAGTCAATTCATGGTTTCCCCGTGCTCTGATTATTATAACATCAAAGTTTAACTTTTTATAATAAAAAAGTAATAACATTTAACCTGATTAATCATCTAAAACAAACAATAATAACCTTTAATAATTCATAAAACAGTAACATACCAGTTTTCTTCTATTCATTTGCAATTGTTGGAAGTCTTTAAGTCTCAATAGATTACTGGTCATTCAGCATTGTGAAGGAAGGCTAAGCCTTTTGTTGCCCCAAAAGCAATCATCAGTCTTGTTGGCCATGATAATGGCGCACTTGTTTATGAGGATTTCAAAAATAAGTTAACAGTACACAAAATATGGTGTTCTTTCACAAGTTTTTAGTCATTTAGAATGTCATGAAGGGTAAAATAGTCATTTATAAATTTTTAATGTCTTTACTCTTTGTTAATCTTATTTGTATTAACAGAAATATATAAGCACGTTTCCCACACACTAAGCTATCAACAACCCTATGTCCTTACAAATATTTACAATAATGAAACAATGCTAGATCAGTATTAGCTTTGACATATTTGTGATGAAAGTACAAACATGACAAAATGATGAAGCACAATTGAACTGTTAAAAGGGAAAGAAAGACAGAACAAGTCAGATATAATAAACAATTTTGACCTAGCTGCTAAAACATAATGAAGGGATTGTAACCCTTCCTCTCCCTCTTACAATTACCACTAAATCACTAATAGTTCTAATACATTTCCCAAGAAAGGCTTGTTATGATCATTTTTGGTATTTAAGTTGGTATTACAACTATCATTGCTGAAGATGCCATATACTATTTGTTATGTAGAGTATTGAAGTTAGGAAAAAGGGGGGGTTTGAGACGTTCGACATAAAGAAAAAAAAGATATATATGGAAGGAAGTTGCATACTTCGAAAAAGGTGGTTTTCAAGGCTTCCTCGAAACATGAACTCATAAACAAGCAATCTGTGGTCATCTTCATAGCAATACCCAATCAATTTCACCAAATTGGGATGTCTAAGCTGAACAAGGAAATTAACTTCAGTCTACAACACAAAATGCCATTACAGATATGGATTAATGGTATAAGGAAGATAAAACAAAACAAAGAACTAGTTGCTGCATGGACAGAGAACTAGAGGAGCTTACAAGCCATTCTTTGTGGCCTTGAAGACCCTCCTTGTTGAGAACCTTAACAACAACAAGAAGACATTTGAGACAACCCGAACATTCTCATCAATATAGCCCTTGTAAACAGTCCCAAAAGAAACAAGCCTTAAGTCAAAAAGAAATAGCACCTGTTATAATGTTGATCTTTTTAAACAAGTTGTAATGATCGAATAACATAAATAATGGGAGCCATGGAACCATGAAAACCTTCAAGAAACCAAACCCACATAAAAATCCCTATCAGAAAATGTAAAATTTTACAAAAAAATGTAAATATTTCAATAACCTCCAAAATTGTATGCCTTCAAAACTATATAGGTTAAAATTGCATTTATCTGCCATAGAATGTGTTGAATCAAGAATAACATACATTCATAAACATAACCATATGAAGGAGGTGGTGGAGGACGGACAAGCTAGGGCAGATAAGAGTGGAGCAGGGCGGTGAAGCAGTAGTATAGGCCACAAACCACAAATGAGGCACGATTCTGTCTCCCAGAATTCTGAATCGATAAACTGTGGGATAGACAACGAGATTTTTTGATTTTTAGGAACGAATCAAAGCAGGTATCCTTAGAGGATTTGAGTTTAGGTGACCGACGTTTGTCTCGAGGAAGGGAGAAGAATCGGTAAGTGCTAAAGGGAGATAGGAACGAGAAAGAATGGAAAATCTAGATATCGATTTGTTTGGAATGAGAAACTGAGACACCATAGCATCCCCAAATCAAAGGCCCCAATGGAGATTCATAAGCATTTAAATGAAGAAAAAAAGGAGAAAGGAAACTCTTGAAGAGGGAAAACCTTGATGATTGTAATGGAAACGATATCGTCGCATCCATTTGAATCACCAAAATAATGATGAGATATAGTGGTCATACCTTTCGTTAGATGTGGTGGAGTTTCTGTTGAGCCGTGTCGCCATAGAGATGTAGGATGGTAGGAGGCGAGATCTAGGGTTCGAGTATGAGAAAGAATTATTATAGAGTCGCCGGTGATCGGAAGTCATTAGTCGTACTCTAGACTCTCAGATCCTTAGGTTCGATGGTGAAGGCGGCGACTTAGAATTTGCAAAGAGAAGGGAAGAAGACAGTGTTCGGCCAGTGGAGATGTAGAAGAGAGAACATGCAGTAGAGGAAGGTGCGGTAAGTTCTTGACAAAAAACCCTAAAAAAGGAAGGCGGGGTTTTTAAGTAATTGGGATTTCATTTTTCCCTCCGGATGGAACGCGCCTGACTATTAAAATTTATAAAGCGACAGCCTTAGACGACACACATTTTATTATAGGTTCCCTCCGTGTTTTTTTAGACACTAATTTCAGGGCATGCAAAAATGCGTGATCTAAATTCTTTAAATTTTGAGAGAGATGACATTATTTTTAGTGCACGCACAAATGTGCGTCCTCTATCAGCGAGTGTCATTGTTTGCGCGTCATTAAAGGGCTGTTTTTTAGTAGTGTATGGACAAATTTCACTTTCGAGTTTTAGATTTAGTAATTTTTTTCACGTATTTAATCACATGTGATAGATGTATTTAAACGCATATGATTAATTTGGATAATGATTTGTTTTTGTATTCTTGGTTTAATATTTGGTATCATGTATATAATCACATGTGATTGTATGCATCTAATCACATAGGCTTCATATAGACAATATTTAATTTTTCCAAATAAAATCATATGTGATTAGAATCATATAATCACATCTGATTAAATGTATTTAATCACGTATGATTAAAGTGGAAAAAAACAATTATTGAATCAAGAACGTGAAAATGAATCTTATCCACATAAATCATATGTCATTAGATACACATAACCACATGTTATTTTATTTATCTATTCACATATGATTTATGTGGACATTAATCATTTCCATGATCTCGATTCAATAGTTGTTATCGTGTACTTAATCACATGTGTTTACACATATTTCATGTAAGTCACCTCCTTAATAGGAGAGTTAATGTAACTCACCTCCTTAAACTTGAAAACCAGCTAGCATGAACAAGATGGATCATTTAATTTCCGAGAACCTACACAACAATTATAACATTATTTATCTTGTGCTTTGGTTTACTACTTTTATAAAACTTATGTATATATGTTCTTATTTTCTCTTTGATTGTAGTGTGCTTTGGGGGATTTGTTTTCTTACCTTTCAACGCATTCGTAAATTTCGATAAAATAATATTAGTAAAGTTCCCCCTTTTATCTTTTCAGAAATATAAAGATCTTATTCTAATTATTTTTGGTTGATTTTATTTTTAATTTACAAGTTAGTAACTTTAGGTTGTCACTTTCTGGACCACTCAACACTCATGGAATAAATTGCACCAACCTACTAAGAATTACATCAGTACCTTTATATGTGGAAAACTATACATCCATATTTAATTATAGGATTTGGAATTTTAGCTTTTGGCTTTCTAATGAATTTATTATGATTTTTTCAAGACAATGCATGAAATCTGTGACAACATGGACCAACCTGAAAAGATTACCAATTTTATCCTTCAAGGAGTTGGAATTTCGAAATGTGATTCAAGGTTTGAGGAAACTAGACAAACTAAGATTTCTAGAAAACTAAGTCTCATGATTTTTAGATGTTCTTATTGACCTGCACGAAGTTTAGATGTTGGAGGATAGATTTGGGAAAATTGATCATAATAGCTTTTAAATCACTTTTGGTGTTCTATTAAGGACTTAATGGTTAAGCCTTAAGTTTATCACTTTTTATATGATTTTTGATTGTTTATTAGGCTATTAAGATATGAAATTCAATTTAACCTAAGGTCCTTAATGCTTGGCTTAATGAGGGTTCAAAGTTAAGGATTTTCACATAAAATGCTACTTTTTCATTGAGGCATTTCATCGAACACTTGGTGTTCATAAAAAATCTATACAAATAATATGTCTGGATCAGAATGTCGATGTCAAAATATATTATCAAATACCGAGTTAATATTGATATTATAATCTATAAATCATTTAGTATTAATATTATGACCTCTAAATGAATTAAATATTATATACTAAATAAACAAACTAATAGTTTATAGAATGCTATACGTAGGGAGGCTTTGCCTTTTCTTACCTGCTGCCGAGAAGAAACAGAAAATGAAGAAAGAAAGTCAATATATCACTCTTCCTCTTCCTTGAACATTAGCACGCTTTTTCTCTAGACATCTCTCTTTTTCTATTTTTTTTTTCTTTTTGTGCCACGCTATAGAAGATAGAAGAACAACTGCGATTTAGGGCACTGCTTAAGGGCATGGAATTCTCATTCATTTTTAGTGAATTGCCGGAACGCTCTGAGATCGGAGGAGGAGATGATTTGGAAAAGTTGTTATGCTTGTTGATGGTACCGGAAGCATAGCTGAGAATGTCGGGCCGATAGTAGATCGGCCAACGACATTAGCATGGAGTTGTGTCATACAATCACACACAATTTTACAAGGTGAAAAGCCATGAGTTGAGAAATGTGGAACTAGATCAACAAAGAAGATTTGGTGACATTCAGCTGTAGATCCGGTGGAAATATATCTTATGGCCTGTGAACCGATATCGTTGTAATGATTTAAAAAATGTTCTCAAATGTTCTCATTGGAACATAACTCTCTCTCTCTCTCTCTCTCCCTCTCTCTCTCTTTCTTATATATATATATATATATATATATATATATATAATATATATATATATATATATATATATATATATATATATAAAGAAATTGTTTATAAAGTCCTAAATAAATACATACATGTATATAAGATGAATATACATCAGTGCATACCCAAATTCAACCAAATACATACCCATTGAATCAATTGTACAAATCAATTAGAGGTGTCAATTTATGACACGACACGACAAAAATACACGAAACGAAACGAAATCAGGACGAAATCAAAATTCGAATTCGTGTTCGTGTTGTTTTCGTGTCAAGATTAAAAAACACGATGTCGTATCGTGTTATGTTCGTGTTCATAAATCGACACGAAATTGACATGATTAAGCATGTGGTTGTGATTTTCATGTTTGTCGTTTTTGTCGTGTTATATATCATTAAGTATGAAAGAAATACACTAATAGTTATGTAATAATTTTTTTTTCTTGTCGTGTCGTGTTGTCTAATTTTAATTGGTTCGTTTTCGTGTTAATGAAAAAAAACACGACATCGTGTCGTGCCGTGTTCGTGTTACACAAAACTTTATTGTGTCGTGTCAGACAAAAACACGACACGAATGCCTGATTTGACAACCGTAAAATGAATATACATAATACATCATAGGAAAATTCATTATTTACGAATTTCACACAAAATACACGTAATATAAATAAAATACAACCGCTACATCTTGCACATCTAATACCACACACAAAGGCTTATACAATTTTACACACAAAAATAACATCTTTTATACACATCAATACACAAGGATAACCGCACACATAACGTGTTCCTTGTTTTAGCTGAAACTGTCACATCCTTTCTCATTTTTCAATTCCTGTCAATAAAAACCCAACCATATACTCAAGACGTCCATAAAAACATCCACCAAAAACTACCTAAACGAATGCTTATAAAAGTATGGTTTTATACTCATAAACACTGTCATTCAATCTCTGTTGAACAAAGAAATCACGTTAAAAAAAAAATAACGAAATTTACCTTAGAGTTATGCCATGGATTAGCAGCATCCCTCGTCCTTCCTTCTTTCCTGTCAAGAACCAAAACCAAACACCCACTTGAGCCTATTGATTTTCTGTCAAAAGCAAACCCAAATATCTATTTGTTCATTCCATAGATTCATGTTAAAACAAACAAAGTCCCCAAAAATAATTTCTTACCTATTTGTTGATTACTTGATTGGAACTGCCAAAACGAGGGGGAGACATCGTGACTGTCGAGCAAACATCACCGAGACCTCCTTTGCCCTCGCCTTCTTCCTATTATGTTCCCAACAACCCCAGAACTCAAAAGCTCTCACCACTTCGCTGTTGCTGCTCGCGACAACCACGGACAGTTCCTCTTCTTCGATCTAGTCGACCACCGGAGCATGCTTCTCTGGTGCGATGAGTCTGCAATCGTCAGACGAGAAAGAGAGAGCCTCGCTGATTTCGTCTTTCCCCTCCTTCGGTTCGGCCAAGCACCAGAGCCGTCTCCATCTTCGTGATCGGCCAAGACGTCCGGAGTAGCAACCGCGCGCCTGCGAGCTTCCTTCTCTCCATCGGATTTCGTTGCTCCCGTATCCCCTTTTCCTTCGTTGCCCAATCGACCTTTCCCCTTCGCACCTCTCGTCGCCTTCGTTTATACTGCCGTTTCTTTTTCTATTATCCCGATCAAACAAAAGACTCAAACGTAAAAGCCCTAAATTAGTTTATGTTTAAACCATTAAAAAAAAATCGCCTCTCCATGAAAATCCTTTTCATGAAAGCCCAAATCCCTTTCAAATTCTTTTAGAAATGACAAAATAACCCCCTATTGCCATATTAATTTTAGAAATCAATCCTAATCCCTAAACCTTGACCCTGTTTATTCAAAACAACCCCTCCAATAGAGTTTTCTTAACTATACCGGTCCAAGACTCAAACATTAAATTCCATTTAAACCATTTCAGCCACTCACTTGATTTATTTTTACAAAAACAGACCTATTCATTAAATTAAATTACCAAACAACCCCCAGTAGTTTAAATTTGTTACGAAACGGTCCCAAGAATATTTCAAAGTTCAAGAAATGTAACATTTGCAGTTTCTCACGAAAAACATCTCAAAGAAACCGAATATCAATGACTGGAACTCACACTTTAGAGTTGGGTGCTTATGGCCCCTTTTAATATTTTAATTATATCAGTGGGAATACACATGCCTAAATATATTGTTTATACAGATCAATTTCATTTTTAAGCGAAAATACAATAAATCTAGTGTATGAAAATATTATTATTTAACAATTTACCATATTTTTAAAATTAAACTAGTATAAATTTTCCGTATACGGGGTTGACATCCCCACCTGCGGTTGCTATCTACAACCCTCGACCAATCAATCGATGTGGGTGATAGATGTCTATAACTTTTATTACAACGTCCAATGAAGCGTTGTAGGGGGTACATCCAGTTACATAGCTCTTTTATACTACACTAGTAACATTAACTGTAGTGTATATATATATATATATATATATATATATATATATATATATATATATATATATATATATATATTACTAACAACCATGGGCTTGGTTGCTTTGAAAACTATTTTTATGTATGGAATTGCTTATGCAACACAACATTTCAATTTTCAAGGATATTCAAAGGTATATTACGAACACAGTTTAAAGTATAGATTTAGTTATACAAAAGATACATTTTGGCTTTCAAGGATTTATTATAAACATAGTTTAAAGTATGAATTTACTTATATCGAAATACATTTTCGGCTTTTAAAGACTCGTTGCCAACCTTGTGTTGACCCTCAAAACTACATGTTTTCTCAGGAAATCTTTAAATAAATATTCAAGACAGATTGGATTATAGGTGATCTAGTTTACTTGTTGTATTATATGCCTATCAGTATAAAACAATGCATGTATTATTATTATTTGTGAACACCTTGTATTCAAACATCAAGATGGAATGTAAATGCTATTTTGTTTATTGTTGTACTTGTACTATATATTCAGTTTACATGTGATCCATGAACTTAGTCACACAGCCTGGCGTGTTTCGCCCCTTCGGCCGGGGGTGTGATAGATTGGTATCAGTGCTAAATTGGCTATAGATAACTCATATCCTCGAAAGAGGAATGCAACTATAGCAACTAGATTCTAATAAAAGTATTATTAATATTAATTACACTACTTTTTGGCTACTTACAGTACGAGAAATCTGGTTTGAAATATCGCTTGGGTTGTTGGATTTCAGAACAACTTGCTAAGATTGTCCTCTCCTTCTGTGTTTCCTATATGGCCCTCGTCTTTACTTGGTAGTCTTGGTGTACAAATCAAACATTAATAATATTACAAACCTCACCCTCAATAATATATAAGAGTTATATATACTCTGACCTGTGATGAGAACACATAATAAAACTCTAAAATACATCCAACTAAAACTACCAACTCAACCCTTTAGTTTAAACGCCTCTACTAAGGTTAGTACCATACATAAGCCATACTATAAATAAAGTTGGAACGTATGCCTATGTTATTTATGGTTAGGCTGGTGAACAACCAAGCTTGAGCAAGGAGTTTGATGGACTATAATCATTGAACGTTTTAGAGATTTAAGGATGTTCTCAAGATTCATTGTAGAAACCTTATATCAACCCCAAAACAACATATACATTTTTAAAAAAATACTTTAAAATCTGGAATAATGTTCAGATTCTCTTAAATTGCCTAAACCTAAAGAAGATCAAAGAACGAATAGCTCCGTTACCGTCCTAGCAAGGAAACCTATAGTTCCTAACTGATCATTCAGTAATATCCAAACTTCTCTCTCTATCATTTGAAAATTGTAGGATTTCAATTCACTCTCAATAATTTGGAAAACTGTAGGATTTCAATTCACTCTCTATAATTTGGAACTTTACCATGAGAGGATTAGAGGTGACTACTTACACTTCTCGATTTAACGGCCTTGCAAACATTTGCCCATGAATGGTGAACCTGTAATACAAAGAGACCGAAAGGTACACCTGGGTAATAGCTTTACGAGTTCATGCTCTGGTTACTGCATCTAACCTACTACCTTTGATAGTGTTATGCAATTGACCTATCAATTGACTGAGCAGTGTATCTGGCAGGGTTCCATAACCCCACAAACTGAAAAATAACTAGGTTAGGAATACAAAAAGGAAGTTCCATGGCAAGACAGAAGGGAACTTCAAGCATCGCAAACCCAATCTGAAAGCTAATGCTATGTATATAGTAATCACAAATACGCCCACTCAGTCAAACCCCTACTCTAGGACTTTACCCCATTGTACCAAGTGCAATATTCATCGTGTCAAAAATTTCATGGTCTGAAACATCTATAACTTAAAAGGTCACACCTCTAAGTTTTGTAGAAAGGCCCCAAATGACACAATCTCAACCACTGCTACAGAAAGAAGCCAAAGTTGCTTCGAGTGCAATCAACCAGGGCATTCAAGAAGGACAACCTGAAACTGAAGAATCGGGGTGGCAAAGGAAGAGCATTTATGATAGGTGCTGTAGATGCTCATTAGGAACCAACTATGGTTACTGGTACATTTCCTATGAACAATATTTATGCTTAAACATTATTTGATATCAGTACCGGTAGAAGCTTTATTTTTCTGTAAGTTTAGAAGCATGATTAACCCTAAATCATGCAAACTTAATAAAGCTTACACAATAGATGTAGCAAGCAACCAATTAGAAAGAACCTTAGAGATACTCATTAATTGCCTTCTCACCTTGACTAACCACATCTTTCACGTCAAACTAATACCGATGATCATTGAAAGTTTCAATGTGATCATTGGAATGAATTGGTTATCACTTCATCAAGCAGAGATGTTATGTTACAAAAAAAGGTTATCCGACTACTTTACCCAACAAGAAGACTCATGTGATTTATAGACATAATTATGGGAAGAACCTAAGAATCCTCTCTTTCATGAAGGAGAAAAAGTTTTTGAAGAAAAGATGCTTCACTTTCATGACCCACGTGGTGGATATGCAAGACAAGGATAAGGAAATCAAGGACATACCGCAAGTGTGTGATTACCCAGACATATTTCCAAAAGAGTTGCCTAGGGTACCTCCAGTCAGATAAGTCGAGTACTGAATCGACCTAATCCCGAGTGCAACACTAGTGGCAAGATCTCCTTATCATCTGACTCCAATGGAAATGCAAGAACTATTCAGTCAACTTCAAGAAATTCTTGACAAAGTCTTTACTCGGTTAAGCTTCCCTCCATGAGGTGCTCTTGTATTGTTTGTCAAAAATAAGGATGGATTGTTCAGGATATCCAATCACTATCGAGAGTCAATCAAACTCGCCATCCAAAACCAATATCTACTCCCGAGGATCGATGGCCTGTTCGACCAACTACAAGGATCTCGTTACCACTAAAAGATTGATCTAAGATCCAGCTATCATCAACTCAGAATCAAAGAAGTAAACATCCCAAAGACAACATTTAGGACTCGATATAGTCACTAATAGTTTCTGGTTATGCCATTCAGACTAACGAACGACACCAAACGAAGTATGCCAATTCTTAGGGCTTACAAGCTACTATCAGAGATTCTCTAAGAACTTCTCTAAAATAGCCAAGCCTCTCACCGTACTAACCTAGAAAGACAAAAAGTTCAATTTTAGGGAGACAGTCAAGAGTCTGCCTTCCGAAAATTAAAGTAGTTGTTGTGCAGTAAACCAATTTTGTCTATCCCAGGAGGAAAAAAGACTTTGTAGTATTCTATGATGCCTCTCACCATGGGTTGGGATTTGTTTTGATACAAAAAGAATAAAGTCATTGTATACGTATGAGACAACTTAATCCAAACAATACCAACTACACTACCCATAACTTAGAGTTAGGAGCTATAGTGTTTGCATTAAAGATATGAAGACACTACCTCTGCGGAACAAAGTGTCTCGTGTTCGCCGACCGTAAATGCCTCCAACACATCTTCGACCAGAAGGAGCTTAACATGAGATAAAGAAGGTGTTTCAAGTTGCTAAATGATTACGAATACGAAGTTCATATTTATCCTAGTAAAGCACATGTAATGGAAGATGCTTTAAATAGGAAAGAGTGATCAAAGCCTCTTCATATAAAGGCTCTAACCCTAACCATCTGCTTGAACCTCACCACCCAAATTCATGATGCTTAGCTAGAAGCACTCAAACCCAAGAATATTGTAGAAGAAAACCTGTGTGTTTTGGACAAACAGTTCGACCTTAAGGGAGACAGAACATGATATTTCATGAACCAAATTTGAACCCCAAAGTTTGGTGAAGTTAGGAGTCTAATTCTAGATAACGTTCTTAAGTCACAATATTAAGTACATCCCGATTCAGATAAGATGTATCTCAATCTCAAGAATCTTTATTGGTAACCCAACATGAAGGCAGAGATTGCCAAATATGTCAGTAAATGCTTGACCTGTTCCAAAGTCGAGGCAAAGTACCAGAAACAATTTGGTCTACTACAACAACCGCTAAACCCGTAATGAAAGTTGGAACAAATA